CAACAAAAGGTGTTCAGGTTGCCATTTTTCACTGCAAAAACATTGCTTCACACTCTTACCATTTTCACTTTTCTTGTGTAGCACGAGCCATTACGTGAAAGCAGGGAATAAGCCGGGGTATCAATTTAAGAGTGGCTGGCGCAGTGCCTGCCCAGCCACAGAAGGTGAAAGATGGAAAGCCAACAAGCTCTTGACAAACTACAGTATTTTTGTGCCATCTCTGATTCAACCAAAGCTCTAGCCCAACAACATTCTGCCACTTGTGGAATAGACGACAAGCCACCTTAGCACTCCAGCTAATAGTCTGCATTCAGACCCAGGTCAGTTGTGTGCGCCAGGGCCCGGCTTTACCGGGAAGTTATTCAAAGGAGAAGGGAAGATCGTATCCCACTGTGTGCACAGCTGGGGCAAACTAGAGCCAAAAGGTTACCTACCTATTATCTCAACCCACATGTATGTTCCTCTATTCTGGGGAATAGGCAGTAATGTGAAAATCTCCCAACAGAGCAGCTGTTGCATGTAAATGACGTGATTTCGAGCAGGGTCACAGTTCTTACTAGCGTTGGGTTTGTTGCTTTTCAGAACCAGTTTTAGTACTGAGGGAGCTGGACTTTAGCACTAGACCAGGGAAATCTAAAGGTGGTGTGACACACAAGCTTGTTTGTTTTTCTGAGCAGGGGGTGGGGTACAAGGCACAAACTTAAGCTGGAAGAACACAAGTCTACTCAAAGCAGATCTATTGCCAACTGTTAGTGTTAAAGAAGCGAGGAGGTAATCTGACAAGACAGCAAGCCACTGTGTGGTCTGAATACTTCAGTCAGTCATTTATCTGAAGACCAGTTTGGTTAAACACTGATCCCTGGAAAGAAACTACAGCCAAGTGGCTCTCAATCCTCATTCTAGCTGGATGCCAAAGTGCTCTGGGGACTTAATTAAGTACTTCATGACCCAATGTATGTTGCCCCAAAAATCTTTAATGCAATTATTTACAAATGCAATTTGCATTAAACAGTCAAAGCCTGTAGCTCCAATAAAAACCCATCCTCGGATGGAAACGCCAAGTGTACGGATAAAGAGCACTCCCCCTTACACAGCACAGCAGCCAAAACCGCCAAGAAAGACCCCACAGAAAGGGGGCTAGAAGCACCTTAATGTTCTTTAAAACTCATTTTTTGGCGTTCGGGTTGTATCTGTGCCTGACCAGGATTTGAACCCAACACTAATCTCACCTCTTGCAGGAGTTACTGCCAATAGACCTGTTATTCCTGGAAGTAAAGCCAGTGCTGAGAAAGGGGAAGGAGGAATATACCCGGGTTTGCCAGTCTAAATGTAGCCTGCCTTTAGACCTTAGACATTCCACACACAAGCATCTCCAAACACCACATGGACAGATTTTTAACAAAATGCAGCGTCTCCTGCTTTCATTTTGACTGGACTTGGGCTGGATTACCTGAGAGTAACCCAACTGCAGCTCAGAAACTTCATATTTTGGTCACAAGGAGGGACATCACAAGAGCACTACAGGGGAAAGCAAAATCCTTAACAGTTCTCTTATTTCAACAAATGTTTTTTAGAATAACCGAGATTAGTTTGACTTTATACCAGTAGGTACATTTGTGTGGGCTTTTAAAAAGCAGATACGTCTCTGTAGTTTGTCTCTTAAGGTCCTTGATCTCAGGTGTCCTAACAAGTGACCATGCCACCCACTGAACTCAGTTCTCGGTGTATTTTGTCATATCTGCTGACTTCAGAGGAACAACAACTCTCTATTCCTTTTCCTACCGGAGTCACTGCCTGCAGCTGTGGGAAAGAAAGGTTCTGGTTTGGCTCATGCCCGCTCCAGAGGATTCTTAATTAGGTTCCAATAGCAGAATGTGGAGTGGTGATTTAAGAGCCACTCAACTTCCAGATTCCAGGCTAAGGAAAAAACCGCTGTTTACTTGTAAAACTAAGCCAGGCTGCTCCGGAATAATGGCGGTTCCCTACGCAGGGAACTGCATGGTGGCATTTTTAGTCACTTTTCAGAATAAAAACAGATTCAGGGTCTTCCTGTTGTGCCACAACTACACAGTTAGTAATTTACCATTGTAAAGACTGACTTCAAAAAATAAGACACGTGTTTCATGAGGAGTAGGATCTTTGAGTGCCAGTCTCCTTCACATGGAAAATAAAGCCTATATTCCACAGGTGAGTCAGAAAAGGAAGAGCACAGCTCTAAATAAGGTCTAATTAATCCATTTTCCCACTCTGCCTGTTATGGGAATTACCGCCTACATCAGCTTTGTCTTCTACCACCTAGAGAAAGCGTCAGGTTAAGAGACCTGCTACTTACAGTGGCAAATTCCTACATCCTGTAGCTCCGAACAAGCCAGAGGGAAGACACAAGAGAATAGATGTAGCAGTCAGACAAATGGCATCAAGGCTCCCTGTTGGCGACTTACGAAATACAATCTAGAAAATCAATCCTGCTCAGTAGCTGTAAAGTGTGAATGCAACGTTTTAAACCACACACTCAGCTAGGCAGATACGGTCCGAAAGAAACAGTTCCACCTGCCTAAACGACTGTGCTAACACAAGAGGGAGGCTGCAGTTTTAACAAACGTATGCCACAATACTCATTTGCTACTGTCCTGAGATAACAGTACAATTCCTGAATTTCCACTAGTGTTGTAATGCACTCTGCAAAGTGAATGGATGTTTGCATTCACTTTTAGTCACACAATAGTGCTTTTTTAAAAAAAGTCTTGGCACTCACCAGATTAATATTTAACTACAATAGATCATGCAATCATGTACAGTTTCTATAACTAGCTGCTGTGTATATGTCCCCTCTTTGCCCCCAAAAGAACTGTCTTTTTTAAAAGTGGGGAGCAGGGAAGTCGGCCAACACTTAACTAAAAAAAGAACATCGACAAAATGCAAGAAATGTCTCTGTACTCTGCTAATAGAATCGGAGACGATTCCAAACGGTGCAGCGGTGAATAAAATGCAAGATGCTACAATTGTGAATCTCGAACATCCCACCGAAGTGATGTCGTGTAAACTTTGATTTGCAGACGAACCAGAGAAAGGTTCAAAATGCAGACCAACGTCTATGCCCCGAGACATTTAACCTACGGGAGCTGATAAGAGTCTAGCACCTTATTCTGCTCTCACTTACGCCAGAGTCCCAAGGTTGAGTCCATCAAGTTACACTGGTGTAGGGGAGAAGAATAAACGCGGTGGGGGTCTCCGTCTTCTAAACCATTTCTCAATGCTGGCTCAGTCTAAATGCTGGTTTTTGAACTTCCTTTGCTGATATTGGGCTGCTGTAACTGGAATTAAGCCCTTAAATCTGCCCTCCATGAGAGCAGATTGTCATCTTTCGGAGAGAAGTAGCAGCATGACTTACTGTGTTGGTGGCAGTACCCTGCATTTCTAGGCCATCTGTGAGAGACACGTGACTGGCATTGCAATCTGGCAATCCTGCAGCCAACTGAATTGAAGGAGGGGTCTAGCCCTTGACTGGAGGGAAGATATCAAGGAAATGTGAATTGAAAGTCAAGTATTTTATGCTAGAATTTCATTGTAAACCTTGTTTTCTGTAATATTACACACACAAAGCGTCAGCCAGTCAGATCTGCTGGATAGAAAGTGGTCCATACATCCTGACATTTACTTGTATGCACAACCCATCTGTTCTCTTAGCCAATCAGAATGCAGCTTTTCAACAACTGTCTCTACAAAACAGCAATTGAAGTTTATCACGATCACAAGAAAATCTCCCTCAGAAACGGTTCTGCCCCTTTGGGCCAGTGCTGGTCAGCATTTATCTAGCAATTATCCAGTGACTTTCTACAAACGCCAACTCCACATCTATGGTAAAGGCCATTGAAAATCCCATCAGATATAAGGCTACTGTGAAAAGCTCCGAAACTACTTCCCAGGTGGTACTTGACTTGGATGGAGCCTCCATTCAGCGGAGATGACTATTCACATGAGCTCTTTACTATATGGAAGAAGAAATTGTTCTACAAAGACGTACTCCCCTCACAGCCAATATCAGGGTCTGACCCCAAATCCACAGGAAACAACAAAGGGCAGTATTAGTGTGAGAAGTCCGGCAATGCTCTAAAAGCACGTCAATTCTGAGTTCGGGATAGCGCGTCAGCCTGCAACTCTGGCTTTAGCTCATCAACAGATCACATACGCTGGCACAAAGAGGCAGTGAGGCAGGTTATGCACCATCAGCCCAGAGTTTCTGCCACAACTTGGAATTTCTTTGTTCCTGTAAAATACTTGGAATGCCATTTAAAACTCTCACAGTTGTAGACCATTTCTGTAAACGTTACCAACAGTTGCCCGTAGTAACCAGTCTTCAAACATGCTGTGCATTTTTTACAAGTTGGAAACAGGCAGCCCGCATTATGGATTTGCAATATGGAAAAACATCATAAACATAAAGGGTGTTTTTAGACCGTAGAAACAAACCAATCCCAACCTAGCAAAGCCATGTTTTAATCACATACACTGCAATTAAATGCTAGAGTGAATTAATTATGAAAGAGGAACTGCAAAGAAATTCACCCCAGACCAAATTGAATATCCCCTTAAACAAAGATGGGGCGTCTTGGAGTGGAAGCATTTAGAGCGCTTATTTCTAGCTGCCCCATAGGGAGTTCTCTCATATCCGCGGCTCCCATAAATCTGAAGGAGGATTTCTCTCCAGTACGAAAAAACATTAAAGATCCCTATTTGTCATTGACATTAATGCCCGGGTGTACATTCTCGTATAGCCATGGCAAACGAAACTGCAGCTGGCAAACAGGACATAGCTGCTTGGAGGTTATAAAAACTCGGTTACGGTTCAATTACTTACAAGTAAAAATGGGGTTCCAGAAACCCTGATGTGGTGCCATCCTGCACTCTGGAACCAACCAAAAGGAGCCATGAACAAGCTGGGTTGGCAGCAACAGGACCCTGGAAGAAGTCCGAACAGTCTGAAAACATGGGCCAGCATGGAGGGACCAAAAGATTCAAAACATTTTATTTTTTTTAATAAAGTTAACAGTAAAACAAAATTCACAAGCCTTCCCCGCCCCTCTCTTCAGCGCTGGTTTCCTCTTCTCACACAAAGCACACAACAGAGAGGTTTCCAACTGAGAAAATGAAACTGCTCTAAGTACAATGAGACATGATGAAGGCAGGAGTCTAATTATGTCCGTATTCACGGTTAAAACGAGGATTTCAGGTGGGTGTATGTGGTTTGTATGTTTTTATTTTAGCCAAACTGGAAAAAGAAATTTCCTGGCCCAGAAGCTGAAAGAGAAAGTGAGAAATATTAGAGCTCGCGAGTCTCTCTCCAGAACAATGCTCGTGAACATCCGTGGAGCGCTGGGCAAACACGCAGCCCTTGGACAGAAACACAAGGGATGGGCTCCGGGCAGTCTAACTCCTCCACACAAACAGGGGAACGGAGTAACGCTGGCACAGGGTCAGTGCTGATACGTTAAAGGGGTCTGGAGAAAGGATTGCAAGGGCGAGAGTAATTTGCAAACAAGACTCTTCCCAGGTCAGGGGTCCGTGAGTTTCTCCCGTGGTTTGTATTAATGCTGGTTAAGTGCCGACCAGATGCTCGGCGCTGTACAAGCCACCCCTGTGCCAAGAGGCGTGCAATCTATGGGGAGCTGACCATGCACCAGGAGAAGGATGGTCAGTGTGGAGCATAACAGCATTTGCAACATCCCCTGGCCAACTCAAATGCAGCGACAATAGGCCGGGCCCTCCAGAAGGCCCCTGGGAGTTGTGCGCGTCTAACAGGAGACAGGACACGCTAGGCTAGCTATGCAACTTGTCTGATCAGACACCCTCCTTACCAGATTCAGTGACCCAGCCAAGCCTATTTCTCAGCAACAGAACACCATTAGTGCCAAGTTTTCACACACCTCGAGGGGGAAGCTTTTCTACACATAGGCCCCAGAAGCAGCCATCTGCTGGTGCACTGCACAGACCACGCACGCAAGCAGTGAAATCAAACATGAACCCTTTCGACCACTGACCTACGTCTGGGACGTTAATGTGACCATCATGTATAGGAACAGCACACACATTTCTCACGCTGGTGGAAAGACGTGTCACCTACCTTCAAAACTGAAGCCACCTGGCCCACCAAAGAAAGCCTTGAAGATATTGTTAGCATCAAAATCTACGGAGGGAGAAGAGAGTTGTCAGTTAGAGACATTGCTGGTGTTATTTCACATCTTTGTAGAGGCTTTTTAAACAAAGGATCCTAAAGTCCTTCACAAATGGCTACACAAGCTGTGTGGAGACGGCTCGCTTTATCCCCCACGGAAACGCAGCAGCAGGGAGCAGCGCTGCAGGGGTTTAGGGCAGAGAGTGCAGACTATCGGAGTCACCAGAGAGACAGACAAAAAGAGTAACTGCTAGAGCTAGAGCTTGGTCTGGACACTACTGGCCAACAGGCTGATGGCTGGGATAAACACCATGCAACCAACAGGGACCAGGAGCTGGGAGCACCCATGGAAGACAATCTCTTCAGCAGAACAGTGTCCCCTAGCTACAGGCTGGGGTACTGGTCAGTACTGACAGAGGGAAGGATGCCATCTGCTGAATCACCAACAGCCAAGGGCAGCCCTCAAGTGTTCCTTGGCCATCTCCCACCCAAGTATCGGCACAGCATGACCACGATCCGTTCATGGTGCCGTCGGACATAGCAGGCTGCCCACATTAGCAGGCGTTTAACACAAGCCAGGGAAGGAACAGCCCCTCCAGAAGTGAAGGCAGACCTGGCATCGCATGCTTGTGGGAGCACTTACCTGCCATGTTCATGCCATCCTCCTCCAGATCCTGCCCACTGTCGTAGCGAGCCTTCTTCTTGGGATCCGACAGGATGGTGAAGGCTTCTCCGACTTCTTTGAACTTCTTCTCCTCTTCTTTCTGTATTTCTGCACTCGCCCCACTGTGCCGGTCTAAGGGGCAAAGACAGGTAGGAAAGCGGCTTTCAACTGCTGCCAAGCGTAGCTGGAAAACACTACACGTTCCAGCCAGCCATCGGCTTTCGTGTCCCACCATGGTCATCCTGCTGAAACTCAAACAAGTACAGCCCAGAGCGGGGTTCTGAAGGCTGGGACAGTGCTTCCTCTGAAATTCTCTCTTCCGTTAACTTCTGCTCTCTGAAAAACCAAAAGCAGCGCGCTGCATGCTAACAGCAGAAAACATTTCTCTACCTGGGTGATGCATGAGTGCCCGTTTCCTATAGGCCTTCTTGATCTCGTCTTCGGAGGCGTTTTTGTCCACCCCGAGGATTTTATAGTAGTCTTTCCTTTTGCTCTTTTTCAGTTCCACCTGTGCATTCTTTAGGAATTGCTTGTGTTCTAGAAAGAAGAGCAAGGCAAAGGAAAGCGCCTCGTAGTAGCAGCAGAAGGAAAGCATCCTTCGAGAATTAAAGAATTTGTTTTCTCTCGCTGTCCGCAGTTTACGTCTGTGCACTCACGTCCTTATACTTAACCCCAGGGGGTTGGGAACCAGGGGCCTAGGTACTACCGGCAGCCATAGCCTCTCGAGACTCCGCATTTTAGATATTGGCCAATCCCCACTCACATGACAATCCCTTGGCATTAGCTAGGTGCAATACCCGAGCCAAACCATCCATCGAGTGCTGCTTCTGCCTTACATGGCTTCATCTTTGAGAAGAGAGGAGACTCTTGTGCTCAGGCCTGGCACTTCAGGGACGGCTCCAACAGGACGGGCCAGCGAAGGCTGAATTTCCCGAGACGTGTGAATTGCTCAGCCAATGGGGTGTGGGCACCTAACTCTGGTTCCTTGGAAAATTCCAGCCCCGGGTGATTCAATGTTAATGTTCTTGCAGCAGTGGCACTCACTGCCCTGAGCCCCTGGCGGGTGCCTGGTTCACCCGGCACTATCTTAAAACCCCTCTGGCTGCTCCGCAAGGGGAAATGGCAGCACCCTCAGGGTGTCCATAAAACCTTAGCACCGAACATCTCGCCCTGGGCAGTACTGTAGCCCTGGTGCTACAGAGATCAACTTAGCAACAGAACTGGGGAGGCTTTCATGCCACTGCTGCTAGTAACAGGCCCATAATTAGCAAAATACAGGCAGTTCTAGATCCCTGCGGTATCCAAGCATCTCCCAAACACGTTAATTTATCCTCCGTTCCCCTGGGAGATGGAGACGTGTCCTGCTCCTCATTTTCACTGACGGGGAAACCAGGGCACAAAGAAATCAAGTGACTTGCCCAAGGGTAGAGCCAGGAATTGACCCCCACACCGTTCTGGATCTTAGTCCAGCGCCAATCACTAGACCAAGCTTTACCCCCCCACCCCAACACTGGGAGAGAACAAACTCTCACACCATTCCATTAGGGGCTTTTCCCAACATCCCAACAAAGCGAGGGGCAGCATTACAGCGGGAGGGGGCAGATCCGTGCGTCCAATGGCAATTCAGAGCGTTTCCCAGCGCTCCCACCTTACAAGAAACGCGGCTGTCAAGGGGTAGGTCGTGCGCATAGAAAGTGAGGGCCGATGCTTTTACCTTTTGTTTTCTCTGTCTGGTAAACTTTTTCATAATCCCTCACAGCATCTTCGTATTGTTCTGTGTCCATGTAACTATGCAAGGAAACAACTGTTACAATGGAACAGTTTACAGAGACTAACAAACACCACAGCAGCCGTGGGTAAATGATGCTTCTGGAGGGACAAAACTACGGAGGGAAAGATGTGCATAGGACCCGCAGAAGCAAAACCAAAGGGGCTCAGTAGGGAGAGCCCAAGGTGGGATGCAAAGGGGGAGGACTAAAGCTCACAGCCCAGCCACCTGCATTTCTCAGGGGTAACCCACCAAGGAAACCCTGGCAGACTAAGCCTACGTTCTGGTCCTGACGTGCATCTGCCATCTCCTTGTGCAGGAGGAATCCTAGCAAGTCAAGAAGCCATCTCTGCTAGAATTGCTTCATCCATCTACCAGGGGCAGGAACTACCAGCAGCCACTGGCAATTCCAGGAAACGGAGGCAGAGTCAGACACTCGTTATCGTCTCTGGACAGTTACGAGTGATGAGACATTGCAGTTACTACCCCACTGGCTGACGGACATGCAACACTGTCCCATTACCAGATATTACTGAGTCCTGGGGCGGGGTGGGGTGGGGGAGCCAACTTGAAGAAAAATATCCTGCACTTCAACTTAAAGAGTGATCTGACAGGGGGCCTTTCAGCCTAGCAAGTGCCCAGGAAACTCGGACACTGCCCAGGAGAAACGCCAGGGGCCCAGGAAAAGGGAAACGCAGAATTTCTGATGGAGACTGTTGAAAAGACGTTAAAACTTGTCTCTGTGCAGCAAGTCCTCAGCCCCTGCATCTGAGAATGCATTGGACTGGGACAGCCAACTCTCCAAGCACAGCAACATCCCTAAAGCAAGGGGCCCAAGTGCTGGCGTTCACTGCCCAGGGAGCCAGGCACTGCGAGTTCAGAGACCCTCACCCAGAGCAGGGCAGCACAGGCACTGTCCCTGGAAGAGAGAGATTGGCCCTTTGCACGGAGGCATGAAAGGCAGGTCCTGCGACGGGTCGGCGCCAACCCCATTTCACAGCAGGCTCTGTAGGCCAGGTTCACGGAGTGAGATTTCAACCACTCGGGGGACAGGACGTTGCTTGAAGCTACTTGATTAAATAACCATCTCGCAGGGGGAACAAACCAAGGCTAAACGGGACTGGCAGCCTGCAGCATCAGTCCACGACGGTGCCGTCAGGCTTCCCGTAGCCACCAGGCCCAGACCCGGCTCCAACCGGAGCCTGCGTTCACACACGCTGCCTTTCATCCTGAACCTGAACCTCCCAGCCACGGCCGGCTTACCATTGTGCTCTCCTCAGGTATGCTTTGATATACGTGTCATCCAGTTTTATTGCATTTGTGCAGTCGTCTATTGCGTCTTCTAGTTTCCTAAGCTACAAAGCCAGACACACAGTTATTCACGCACCCCCTCGGGAGGGGACGGATTTCGATACGGTTTACGTGACGCTGCAGAGACGGAGCTACGATCCCCATGCAAAACGAAAGCCACAAATACACGGCTCATCCGGAGACGCCTTTTCCCACCGGTCTGGCACATCCCCTTTCAGACCCTCCGTCTCTGCCGCACGGAACTCCCTGCCAGGACTCTGCTCCCCACCCAGCCCAGAACTCGGGCTCCCCCGGAAATACTGGAACTCAGACTGCACTTGGAGAAGCAGCAGACTTATTTTTATAAACCACCGACGGCTGCTTCTTAGAAGTGCGTTTGGAAAGGGGGTGGGTGGGGGGGTAAGACTTGGCCCCAAACCAATTCCCAGGTGGGGTTACAAATTGGCAAAAATTAAGACAATTTAAGGGGGTGGGGGTGGAAACCCACGTTACCGGTTTTCAAGCGTGAACACCCCCAAAAAGCAATACACCACTGGAGCCAGATCTGGCTCCCCACTCCCACGGCCCGATATTCTGGGCAGGCTTCATTGGTTCAAGCAGGCCTGGGTGAATGCTGAGGCAGTGGGGTGGGATTTCACACTGTGTGGGTCACATGATTAGCGAGGTATTGCTCGGGGTGGGGCTAGGTTTAGTTAACTCCTCTGCTATAGTTTTCTTGGACGTCTGGCAAGGGCGCCAGGGCTTTGGACAGACGTCTTTTCTTTTTAGATGGAACGAAGTACAAGAAGTGATCTGTGGGTGCTGAAGTCTCCTCGTTCTCAGGAGGGGATTAAATAACTCAGCTGGAGAAGGGGATCTAAGGCCTAACACCTCCCCTGGCTCGGGTTTCACGTCTTTAGGACAGTCGTGTCCCACGCTGTTGGGAACGCACCTACCCATGCGAGCGGGAAGCCTAGTTCCTGGCCTGCAGTACAGCGGGGACGAGCCAGCCCCGCCAAAAGAGAAATTTGGCACCATGCCTCATTCTGGAACCAACGGTCCCTCGTCTGTATCGCCTGGGTTTCTCCTCCACGGCGAGGCAGTTTCTATCTGGGGAGTGCCTTGAGCTCCCAGGATGAACGCCCACCTGTAATGCTGCCTGGGTCTTACCTTTGAATTAACCGTTCCCCGGTTACAGTAGAGTTTGGCATTTGTTTTTATGTTATTTGGGTCTATCCCCAGTGCTTCTGTGTACAGTTCATATGCTAGTTTGTAATTGCCTTCTTTAAAAGCTTTATTTCCATCTTCTTTCTTTGCTTTAAGTGCTTTGGCATTCTGAAAGAGAAAGTGCCCTGGGATGAGGGCAGACACTCTATAGATGACCTCAAAGCCCAAGGCTCACTGATCCCAAGACACACTTTCTAACCTGCTTTCAAACACAGCCCCAGACCACAGAACCTGCAGCTTTGTCACCACCCAGCTCCTTTCTGCTAAGAAACAGCCAGTGCCAACCTCAGCCATTCCGCATGGGAAGAGGAGACTGTTAAGGCTCAAGGTCAGAACACAGCCAAAGGAAGGAACCCAACATTTGACAGCTTACCCAGCTTCGTGTTGCCTGAAAAGGCGGGTGAAGCAGAACTAGATTGGAGGAGAGAGGACGGGGCAGGAACTTGAGAGGAAAAACGCTTCAAATGCAAGTCAAGCTGCAGAGCTTCACATCTGGACAGCCTACGTTAGACTTCACCGGAAGTCAGAGGCTAGAAACGTAGTATCCAGAACTGCAGCGAGAGATCTCGGATTGCTCCAGAGAACAACAGGCAGGTGGGCCGCCCGCAGAGCGGCCTAACCCCGGAGAGGTCTGTCAGTGGCTACCTCACAGGGAAGCAGCAGGTGGAGTTCAGGAAGGACTGGATGCACTGGCTACTGCAGTTTTGGGGAGGGGAAACACAGCAGGAAATGGGGAAGGGTGCATCTGGGCAGAATGATTCATTAGAAGCCATTGGCTCCCCGGTCCCAGTACTTACTCGGCAGGCGAGACATGCTTTCTCGTGATCGGGGGCCATCCTGAGTGCCTGGATGAAGAACTGCACGGCCTTCTCGATACAGTCTTCATAGTAAAGGCAAAGACCTCGGACATAAAGGGCATCTGCGTTTGTGGAGTCCATCCGTAAGATGTCGCTGGAATAGCCAGACATGCACATTCAGAATCAAGTCTAAGCACTTTCGAGATGGCGTTTCCTTCTAACCACCAAGAAGGGTCTTGCTCCACCAAGGCGTTAGCGGTTTTACCAAGCCTGAGGTCAGCGTGCTGCACTGGGAAGCGCAGGCCTGCGAGTGACATGGTGGGAAACCCAGCATGGTTTTTAAGCTGGTGGCCTTAGTAAGACTAAATGGCGGGGGGTGGAATTGGAGCATCTCTCCTAACCACACCTTGCACTGCAAGAGGAACTTCAGTGATTACACGCGAGTTTCCATCACAACCCCCCCTCTCAGGGCTTTCCGACTAGGCTGAACAAACCCTCGCTGAGCGAGCACTCTTGGGACATCAGGGGGTCGTTAGTACGTCAAGGGTCCTACCTCGCTACAGACTGTGCTTCTGGATAGCGACCCAGCAGTGCCAAACATTCGGCCTTGAGGATTTTGAACCTATGACAGGCAGGAGCGAACTCCAAAGCACGGTCCATGCAGAACACGACCTAGCGAAAGAAGAAAAGCAAGTGGGCACAAAACAAACAGCCAAGAGCCAGATCTGAGAGATGGTGCTATCTCTGCACCAGCTGGGATGGCAGATTTGTCTTCAGACTGACCCAAGCAGACCCAGACAACGGTGTTCTCAATAGCTGAAAAAACACTTCGGTAGAAGCCTCCCCCCTGCGTCGGGTCCTAACGGCCCCTCATTTGTGAGGACCTGCGGCTCGTCTTGTATTTCTAGCAATCCCATCTCCGGGGTATCCAAGCACCACACACACAACGAAGGGTCACAGAGTGCCCCAGGGACAGCAATAGGAGAAACCCAGCCCTTTTAAGCCCTCTGATTCTATGGCGATAGGCACTAAGAAAACTCTCTGAGACAGACCATTATGCTCCTACGTTTCCTGCACTTCTCCCTCCCCATTAGTAGGGAGTGCGGGAAGCGGTAGCAACTCAATCGACAGAGACAGTTGGAACTGGACTGAACAAAGCACAAGATGCCAGGCAGGGACCGAAGCCGCACTGGCCTGCGATGGGCTGGGTGACCTAATAGGTCTTTTCCAGCTCTGGTTTCTCTGGTGGGGACAGCTGCATGAGAACAGGAGCATTGTTCCGCAAAGGTTCATCTGCTCCTGGGGCCGGGCTCTCAATCCCCCATTTGTGACATCACAATTAGCTGCTGTGGGGAGCACCGAGATGCTACAGATCGAGGAGCCTGACGCCTTCTGGGTGGGGAAGGACCAGGAGCAGCTCTCCAGAAACAAAGGTTTTGTTTCATGCCAACATCCCTGGAGAAGTGAGGGACGGAGACACAGGCAGAGTTATTCCCAGATACAAAATCCAGATTGTGAAGAGCAGCTGGCCCAGTAGGACAATCAGATGAGGCAGAACTGGGATTTACCATTACAGAATCCAGAGCCTGGGCTTCAGGCATCTCCTCCTGCAGACTCTTATGAATAGTGCCCTTAACCCTGATGTGATGAAGAGACCGTCTCCTGCCCTGGGCCAAACCCTGACCTCGCCTACATCCACTGACGGCAACTGCAGTTGGGTGGGAGTCACACTTGGGTGTCTGAGGGCAGATCTGTCTTCCAGGTTTCATGGCTACTCTCATTAAGGCAGGGCATGAGCGAGGCTTAGAAACAGCAGTGGAGGATGCCGTGAATAGATATGCATTCCCCCTTTATCCCTTTAACACTGGCAGAATAGGGATCCTGGGGATGTCTTATAGGACCAACGTTTGCTTTACAGCTGCTGAGAACATAATCTGATGAGTAACACCCCCAGTCAACACCCCAGTCCCACCCATGCTCAGCCCAGCCTGCGCGGCTAACAGCCATGAAGAGATTCATGCCAGGCCAGGTAGTTGGTGTAGTGCTAGATCAGCATAGCTCTGCCATCCTCACGGGGGCTCAGGGCCGCGGCGGGGAGAGGCGCCCCTCCCCGCTGGCCCCAATGTGGACCTGCCCTGGACTTTTGCCGCTGGGGGAGAGGAGCCCCTCCCCCAGCCCAGCCCAGGCCCACCGGAGCTGCCACCGGGGAGCAGCGCCTCTCCCCTGGCCCCAAGCTGCTGCGGTGAGAGAGGGCAGGGGGGAGCCCTGGGACAGCCTGCAACCCCAAACCCCTCATCCCTGTCCCCACCCCAGAGCCCACACCCCAACCCTCTGCCCCCTCCTGAACTCTGAACCCCTCATTCCTGGCCCCACCCCAGAGCCTTGACCCCTAGCCAGAGTCCTCACCCCCTGCACCCAATCTTCTGCCCCAGCCCTGAGCACACTCCCACACTGAACCCCTCGGCCCCACCCCCACCACATGAATTTTGTTATGTGCACCAATATGAAGGTGATGTGTTACACGTTACCTCCATATTGGTGCACATAATACAATTCACTCCACACATGGACATAACAAATTAGAGGGAACACTGTCCCTGACTCCCGCTGAGCCAGCCAGATCAGTGTTTTCTGGTCATAATGGGACAAAAAAGATCCATGTTGATTTTACCTTCCTGAAATCTCGTTTCTCAAAATCAATTTCAGCTATTCTCTCGTATTCCAGCACGGCGCTCGCATTCTTCAACTGAAAGAAAGGAGGGCATGGTCGGTTTCCACTCGCCTGGTCTGCACCACCGTCGGATGGCATTTAAACCAGCCAGCGCCCAGGATATCAGAGCAGCCCCGGGAACAACAATACTCCGGAGCTACCTTTGCTTTTCTAAAACCAGTTTAATGTGGGCCCCTGGGATCGGATGGCTTGATTGCCCTGGAGAATGAAGGCCTCTGCTCAGCCACAGGCCAAGCAGAGCACAGACAACAGGAGGGCATGCGTCCACACACTGCCCCCCTCCACCACTCCCCCGGATTGCCCAGTCTAGCTCCCACACCTCCACCAAGGAAGAGAGCGCACACAGAAGCAGTTTTGCAGTGTGGGTATCAGTCTGCTAAAAACTGGACTGAACCCTCAACTCATGTCACCTCTCCCCCCCATCAGGTGGCTGCCCCACAGAGACACCATTTAGTCACATCCAACCTGAGCTACACTTGATTCTGTAGCCCAGAGGCGAAAGGCTCCATAGCAGAATCTTGCTCCCCTGGGCAGCCCCCCCCAAGGGGGCTATTTGGATCTCCGAGCGTTTTTTACCTCTTGTTGTGCCTGAGGGTTCGTGTGATCCAGTTCTAGAACTCGCTGGAAGCAGCGGCTAGCAGCCATGGCATTCCCGAGAGAGAGGTGACATTTCCCTTCCCGTAGATGTCCCTGAGAAGACAGTTAGAAACGTGGCAAAAGTTCGCGTGGGGGGTTTCCAACGGCTAGTAACAATGAGACACCGAATGGCTGGTCACCTACCCGTACAAAGGTATCATCCAATCGGACTGACTGTTGGGCATCTCCCAGTGCTTCCCGGAACTTCCCCAACATCATTAGGGTGGCTGCTCTGTTACCATAATAACTGGCATTGTTAGGACATGCGTCTGGAGAAAACATTACAGCAATCCCAGTTAGTGCAATGCGAAGGGCTACACGGATTGTCGACAGAGCACATTACAAGGTCACTGCTGGGTTCAAAATCACATTCCCTGTTTGCAAGTTCATACCCTACATGAGCAGCTTAAAAATTACCTGGAGTCAGCCGTTTCTATTTAGGAGCGCCCAGAGGGGTCGGAGTTCCCTTGTACAGGCGCACTGGAAATCGCATAGCGTCCTGTTCAGTGCCCACCAGCATGGTAACACTGCTGAGCCCACACGCAATCATTAACACGAAGGAGATCCAACTCCATCAGCCTGGCTGGACCAGACACAGACAGGGTGCTACATCGGGCAGCGCTACAGCCATCCCAAGCACTCCCGGTAAATCTGGTGAGATCGTACACGGTAACTAACACATCTGTGTCACCGGGACACTTGGAAGAGGTTTCTTCAACGTGTGCCGTTAGCACCATGAGTTGACCAATATGCTGGTTTATTCCCCCCATAACCCAGTCGGATTAGGCGAGCCCCAGAACACGGTCACAAACAGTCGCTCTCACCTATGGCTTTTGTGTAGTAGTTGTACGCTTCATTGTAATCTTTCTTGGCATAATAAGCATTTCCTTGTTCCTTGAAAGTCTCTGCTTCTCTGAAAGAGAGTACAATATCCCACAGTGAGATGAACAGCAGTATCGAGAGACACTGACTGGCCCCAAGGACCACATCCCCAGCTGCCTCCGGACAGCTCTGCACTGCTCTACTGGCTACACATGGCTCTAAAGCTGGCCTGCCTGGCCACTACAGAATTGCCCCCTTCGACGGTACTCCCGGGGAAAGAGGGCACCCCATGTTCAGGGGACTCCCAGATGCTGCAACAGCCCTTGGGGCCATAGGCAGCTGGCTAGGGGGCCAGCCAAGGATCACAAGAGCTCATGATGGATTCAGACCAACTTCGCACACTCCTCCCTTGAGCTGCACTAAGTGCTGGCCAGCCACCACTCAGAATCTGGCCCAAGGGTATTTGTTCTTTAATGCTCAGAAACCAAGACAATTGCAGAAGTTTTACAGAATTTACAGGTCCGATCCTGCACGGTGCTGAACACCCACAACTGCCACTGAAAACAGCAGAAACCGAAGGTGCTGACCACCTGTCAGGAGCAGCTCCAGACCATGCAGGAATGGCCCAGACCGCTGGAGAGGTCTCCTGAAGTCAGCAGGCTGAGGAGGGGCTCAGAACCACCTGAGAGCAGGCCCTAGGAAGTCTCCTAGAACATGCAACGTTCAGCCTGAGGCATCTCCCCCGAAGCCCTTGGAAGTTGAGCCTTCAGAAAAACAGAAGTAATTGCACCCACGGTCCATCTCCCCACATCGGCAGGGCAGCCTGGCAGGGAACATGCACTGCCACCGTTCCATGCCCCACAGCCAGTCCTTTGCACCCCACACGTTAGGAAACGCTTCACTGAGGGACAAACTCTGTCTGAGGCGGCAGCGTAAGTCAGGCAGAACTGGGCCCTGTCACTGCATCTGCTACTGAAACAGCATCGATCAACATTTACACATCCCAGCTGCTGTCGGGAGAGCTACCCGCTCTCCTCCCCTGCATGGCTTCTCCAAAGCAGCGTCACCTCTCAACAGGGCCCCGGCAATAGTGCCGACAGACGGCTCTTCCGGGAGTTGAGCTACCAGGGCTTCCCAAGCTCAGGACCAATGAACCCGAACGGTTTTGTTTCCCTTTCTGTGCCACTGAACAGGTAAAATGGCAACGAGATGGAGGCTTTAAAGTATTAACTCGCCCTGTTCTGGGATGTATTTCAATCCGCACTGGGATAAAATCATTTGGGTCGTCACCATTGCACCCAGAGCTACAGAAATTAAAGCACGTGCTGAGTCCTGCCGAAGGAGAACTCCCACAATGTACGCCCGGCTAAAACCTCTTCCTTGGAGGAAGGCAAATTTCAGAAATCGAGCAACGGGGGCAAGTCTACAGAGGACACACTTAATGATCCAAATCGCATTAGGGAGACGGTATCCCTTGGATTCCAGCCTAGCACACTAGCTAGTCCAGCCATAGATATAAGCAACCACACGAGGAGTCAACGCGCACAGGACACCTTCCTCCTCAAAGGAAATGTCAGCCAACTGCTCCGTAGATAGAATTCACAGCAGCAATGGGGCAAAGGCTGATGGCACCAAAATAGCTAAAGGGACATTCCAGCCTGCCAGGGCAGAGTTCCACATTCAGTCTCAAACGCTCAGGTCACACCGGACAGGCTCCGAGCTGAGCTACTCCGCCTTGCGAAAAGCCAGGGCCCAGAGAGTTACAGAAACCAGGAAAATCTCTTTTGAGGCTTTACCACGATTCTGCTCAGAAATGACTTGTTGTGAAGTCCAAGGCAGACACCTGGCCCTGAAAATAGCTTTAATAGGCCAACTCAAGCAGCACAGGCGTACCGAACAGGCAGCCCACGGAGTCATTAGAGCTATCCCCGGCCCCCCTCCTTCCCTGTAACACCATGGAAGGCACAAAGCCGATCAACCGATTTTACTGCTGGTGAACGAAAGCAATTTCTACTATCACTGTTAGCTTTGTGGTAGTGTCCAGAGGCCCAAATCAGAATCAGGCCCCTTTGCACTACAAGCTCTACCAAACTCCCAGGCCGGTATCAGCCTCTCTCGAAGAGCGTACAGTCTAGTAGATCAAGGAAGGTACAAACAGGTATCCATTTGGTTCCATTTTATTTTTAAAACCTACAATTTACAAAAATGATGTGCAGCTCAGGCTCTGAACAAGCGGCACCCCTCTGCCAGCACATGGCGGGCACCTCTTACATCCTCTTTTGAGACCCCGAGTGAGACTGAAGCGGTGCCAAGGCATTGTGTGAGCTCTGGAAAGCAGGGATTTCACCCTTCCTGACATCCTGGCCAGGTAAGGGTTGGGTGCCACTCTGTAGAGCCACTGCTACAATGCATATGGGCCAGGACATCAGTTCTCAAAGTGTGGAATGTGCACCACTGACGGTACACGGGCCGGCTTAAATTACAGTAGCCGAATACGAGTCCATTCCGACCACACTGCGTAACTTTACAAAGGAAACATGCCAACACTCCTGAGTGTTAGATGAGGCATAAAGTCAGAGACCTGCTGGTCCAGAGCCTATTCTTTAACATTGACGTTGTCGGACAGTTGTTGGACAGACACAGTAAATGACAGTCCGTGAGCCAAAGAGTCCAAGCTGAAGACACCTTTCAACCCCACCCCCTGATTAAATCTGGTCTGGGTATTCAAAACCCGGCCCTCTCTGTAAGGAGCGAACACTGCCACGGCCCCTTTCTGCCCGAAGGAAGGCATTTCAGCGGGCGCGAGCTGAAGGCAAGCTGAAGCGAACAATGCGAGCTATGTTTGGCAAGCCCACTAAAAAAGGAACAAAGGGAACTGTGTGGGGGCAAGTTAACATGTTTTTAACCTCATTCGGGCTTGCCATTGGCCACTCCCACGCAACTGCCGCAAGCAAAGGGCTGTTTGTCAGCTGGCAAAACAATCGACAGGGAGTGCTACCACTCCAAGGGCCTTCAGGGTCAGGGCTAAAATATGTGCTGCTCACTTTCATTTTTAATCTCGTTACCAATTAGGTTCAGCTCAGGATGCTGACAACAGGCAAGCCCCAGGTCTAGTGTCACTCACTGCACTGGCCAGACACACCAGGGACCTCCCTGGCCCAGTACGCTTATGTTTACTTAAAACAATCAGAGTCCAGGGGTGACTGGGTGGCCGAGGAGGGAGCTGCCATGTGGTGCTCTGAGAGTACATGTCCCAAACTGGGAGTGCTGGGAACGCAACAGATCCAGGTCCCTCTCCCTCGGTTTCAGTGAGTTCACTTCAGGGCCTTGAAAGGTATCTAATAAGTTCCCATCCGCCCCCCAGCCTGAGTCTGGTCTGAATGAGCTTTCACCTCTATCTGGTGGGAAGCTGCCAACATGCCCTCCTCACCCATGTTCTTCCCGCTAACATCCCCAGGGACGGCATCATGCCAAGGTTCCCATCAGAACTGAACCCTCTGCTGCTGTGGTCGAAACCTGTAATCTCCACCCACACCCACCAAGTCAGCCTGGAGATATGCACAGTGGAGTGTGTCGGAACACACGGCAAGTGTCAGAGTAGAACTCTCCACCCGCACGTCACGAGACAGAAGCAGAGCTAGACAAATATGCCCCCTACTTGACTTACAGCAAAAGGAAACAAAATCTGTTCTGGGAATGAAAAATCACTTTTTAAAATGTAACTGTCCCGACAGACTGACAGCATGTGCTCCTCCTGAGTGGATCCGAGCTGGTGAACAAGCCGTGTAAAAGATACATGCAACGTACATCTCATCGGTGCCATGCTGTAGATCTCTCTCTCAACTCTCTGAGTAGGGATTGTTTCAGTAACTCGTGCCAAGGGGATGGATTTGTACCACTCGTCGTGATGGGATTTTCACTCCGTAAGATAAGACACCCATGCACCATGACCACTTCTGAACATGAGGAGGGTTGAAGGAAGTGGTGCCTAGAAGTTTCCTTTCTAGCGTCTATGGTCCCATTGCTGTGGTTACATATTCTGAAGAACAGGGCAGCAAGGATCATTGCCAAACCTGATCTCTCTTGGCCTGCTGAGCCACTTGCTAGAAGTAAGCAGATTGTCTCATGTGTAAATCTTTAAGCAACTTTACCAGTCCTTATGCAATGCAGTGTTTCTAGTTGTTCCAGCTGTAGGGCTGTAAGCCAAGACTCCTGGGGTTGTTCCCTGACCGCCAGTGAGTCAGTCACTGACCTCTACGCCTCATCACCCCATGTGTGAAACGGGTGGTTAAATACAGACCTACCTCACAGGAGAGCTGTAAGGCTCCGTAGTGCTTACAAAGCCCTTTGAAATAATCTGGTGAAGAGTACGAGGATGGTTGTTTCTATTTAGTGTTGGTTGGGTTTCCTAGACACAGCACTTCGCTGACATGTCAAACCTCAGTGGCTGGATAACCTTACCAGAGAGGAAGTAAACATGGCTGCCTTTATTGTTTACACGCCTTTAAAGCTGAATGATGAAGTCTTGCAAGAAAATCAAAGTGGCTTCAAAACATGTAGGCAGAGGCGCTGGGTTTGCAAGAGGCAAGGCGTGAGAGCCCGGGAACAGAACGGCAGCGTCTCTCCCCAGTTGTGTTCCAACACACAGAAAACGGTTCTTGTTTACCACTGTCTCTGGCTATACTAACAAAACAAATGCAGATCTCCTGATATCATGAGTAATTGTTTCAATCCAAACAGATGCTGCAGCCTGAATGAGATCATTCTGCATCTCACACTGATGTAGGCTGCATTCCCCACTTGCTGCTTTGCTAAAAATACAATCCAGTCCTGAATGGATTCCTTTGTTCGGAGAGGTCAGTGTCTCTCCAGGGCCTCTCTGTGGTGAACCCAGGGGGTGGGGAGGAACAGAGCCACATCAAGGGACTCACTAAGAAGCGTCTCTTTCATTGCCTGCAAGCACTGAGAGCGCTGCTAGGAGCCAGCTGTCTGAAACAACTCCCTCCTCCTGAAATTTGGTGACCTGCGAACTGCTTGGTTAACAAGCTTGTCGTGTGCTCTCAGTTCTCCAGGTGTTGCAGCCAGTCCTACTCCATGGCCCAGCTCAACCTGAAAGGCTCCTCAGACTCCTTTCACGGGAAGAACATTA